ATAAAGCCACATCCTCGATACAACAATCATTGTCAAAAAAGCGACCTTAATGCTTAGACGGAACAATAACAACCAAATGAAGAGAATCATTTAAACAAGAGAACCAAAAGCACAACATGGCAGAAAGCTAACAGCAATGATTAACTTCTAACATAAGGAAAATCATGTTTATCTAATATGATAAGATCTTTAAAAATAGTCAGCAAAGTCGAATAGGGTAAATCAATAAGATGCTACAAATTACAACCATAATTAGATAACCAATCAGCACAAGCATTCCCTTCTCTATAGATGTGAGAAATTTCAACATTGAAAAAGATAAAAAAAATGCTTGATTTCTCCAATAAGATGAAACAAACCAGGATTGCAAATTTTTTCAACATTATCTTTTAAACAGTGAAGGCATTATATAGCATCAACCTCAATCAAAATGTTATTAATACAAAGAGAGAGGCATAATTTTAAACCATTTAGAATAACAAAATTCTCAGCACAAATGATAGAACATCTAGAAAGAGGACTAGCATATGCCATAATAAAATTACCCTGACATGATATCACCACAACCATAAGCACTATCTTTGACAGAACCATCACAATTAAGTTTAAAAGTATTATAATATGGTTTATACCAATGAATAAGTTTTGGGCCATCAGTGGCATGCATATCATTAAGGACAATCTCAAATTCTTTAGCAACAAAAGTAACCCCACTAAAGTTCTTGGGAGGCAAAAGATGAGCATTAAAAAGGTTAAGAGTCTTGTTTTTAATATTTCCAATAATATGGTGGTGATACATAACAACATATATAATTGAAAAGGGAATTGTTAAGAGGAAACCAAAGATACCATAAAATGAGGGAAGGAATTAAATTCATAATATGTCCATGAGAACTCGTAAACCAAAGACTTAATATATCCTTGATGCTAATATTATAACAAAGATGATTAAACATGAAAATGTTATCAAAATAAATCCAAATTTTAGAGGCAATAGGACTAGAGATAAAGACATGATGCATGTTTTCCATGTGATATCAACATTGACATTTAGACGATAAAATAAAACCTCTTTTGATAAGATTGTCATCACTAGGAACATATTTGTGTAACACTGTCCAAATAAAAATAGTAATGGTAGTCGGGATACTTTTATGTCAAAGATAGAAATTTTTTTAGAAATAATATTATTAATTCTAAAAACATTCCAAGCATCCTTAAGTCTAAAGGTGCCATTACTAGTCATGTTGCATAAAAAAATATCATCACCTTCAATATTTAATGGAATTTTCATAATTAAAGTATTTAATGGAGCACGAACACTTTCAATAAGTTTAGAATAATCCCAATAATTATCAATAATAAAAAAATTAACTTTGGAAGCAGCTATAGAGAAAGAATTGATCATCTAATCAATAGAAGTGTTACCCAACCAATGATCCTGCCAGAAAAAGAGGTTAGCCCGATCAACACCCCATTTAATATGAGGTTTCACATCCCATTTAATGTTGCAAACTCATTTCCAAACTCTAAAATCACCCTGCTTATAAGTACACATGGTAGGGTGAATGCTAACACAATACTTAGCAATCATGTACTTCACCCAAAGACTAAACTTTGCAAGAAAATTAAACCATAATTTGATGGAAAAAGTAGAAGCCAAGGCAACCATATTTTTGCACCCTAAAGCACCTTCTTCAAGCACACCACAACAATTACTCCAAGTAGTCCATTGCGTCAGCTTACTTAAACTCTATGAATCAGTTCCGGTGTAATATATGCCGGTTTTGTAAGAAATATATAAGGAATTGTCATGCACAACTCTGAGGGAAGATTGTATGGTGCGAGTATCACGGGCCAACATAAGTAAGGTGAAACAAACTGGCTAATAGAGTGAAACCATCTGCGTATAAATCTAATCTTATATTACTTGATTCTGAGGTGAAGGTGGAATGTGTACTATCAAAGTTTTTTGAGGGATCCGCTTCTGATGGATATATAATAAAATATTCTTGTGAGATATGTTCTTTATGCCATCTCATATGTGCAGCAGATCTCATGGATGTATATAATCATTGCAGTCTGGAAATTATGACTAAGTAAAATAACCTACTTGTTGGTACTTCCTTCAACTTTCTTTTTGTGCTAGATTTTAGTTTAAATCTAGGTGAATTGCAGTAACAACATGTAATCTATGATTGATCATCTTTATAGAATAACATGCATCCATTGACACTATAATCTATCTTTGGGTATGTCAAATTAAGCTTGAAAATCAACTTCTTAGTTTGATATAAATCTGTATGAATAATGTTATCTACCAGATTGGTTTCTTTGAGTAGTCCAATGAATTGATTAAAACATTCATCGGGGATATTATATTTTACCTTGATGCTTAACATCTTAAGAGCAATGGATATCTCTGAGTGAGTGGTGCATCCCTTCCGTATTATTTGTTGAGAAGCATGTAACAAATCATAAAAAATTTGTGCTTCTTTATTAGGTGACTCTTCTATTTATTATTCAAATTGTGATCCACTTACATCATCAATTAAGTCCTCAAGATTAGGTTGGATATTTTATTCATCATCTATACTAGCACTTGTAAATGGGTCACATTGAGAATCGAAATGTGGTTCATACTCACCATGAGAAGCCCAATAACAATATTCTAGCATGAAACCTCGATGGTATAGATCAACAATTACGTCATCTAGGCTTAGATGCACCTGATTTTTATGTTTAGAATGTGGGCAACGAAACTTTCCATTTGAGATAAAGCTGGACAGTTTAGAAGCTATTTGAATGAAAATATTCACCGTCTAATGAACTCATCCGTAATATATTTCATCCTTGCGCTAATCAATTATACATCCAATTTCTTTGAGTTCTGATATCTATAATATAACATATATATAATATAGATATATTAGATAATTTTATAATATTCATTGAAGAAAAATACAAAGAGTCTTAGTCTGCTAGAAGGCCATCATTTTAAGTGACCAAACCATCCAAGGCGACTCTCTATAATCTTATCTTTCACTGGAGCTACTCCAACCTTCTAACATATATATTATTTTCATATCATGTCTATAATCAAGTATGCCCAATGCATTCCTCTACGTCCACACAACGACGCACAATGCATTCCTCTACGTCCATACAACAATGCCAAAATCATTCTTCTACGTCCACATAATTATAACAATAACTGTTGCTAACCGGTCAAATCTAGTACACCTACTTTCCTAACCAGGTCATCAAATGTCGCCTTTTTATATGACTAAACCATTATAGTGACTCTATCTAATCTTATCTTCCACTAGAGATACTTGAACATTTTCATGTATATGATCATTTCATATCCTGTCTCTAAGAGTAAAGCCACTCATCCACGTAAGCTTCATCATCTTCGGAACACTTAAGTTAATATTATGCTTCTCTTTTTATGTCTAACATTCTACATCATGAAGCATTGTAGGTCTAACCACCACCTTATAGAATTTCCCCTTAAGTTTGAGGGGGGATTTTATATCGCATAACAAGCCTAATGCATTCCTCCAATTCAACCATTCAACTTGAATTCTACTAATAATATCCCCATCTATTTCACCATCACTCTTAATAATGTGTATTTTTATTAATGACTTGATCACCCAAAATCTCAATCCCCTCACTAAAACTATTTTTACTAAAATTACACTCCAAATATTCAATTTTAAATCTACTCAAATGACCTACATAATTCAAGTTACCTTCAACTCCCTCTCTACTTTCTAAAAATTAAACTCCATAATGCGTACACCAGTATACCTTCTCTTACAAATGTATAGTAAGAACATCCAAACTCAAGGTTATGAGATAATACCTTCACTTACCGGTGGCGTTCGGGGCTGTTTTTGGCAAAAGTTGACAAGGGTTCGGTCGGGCAGCTCTTGGATGTGAGGAAGAAGTGCTCGTCGGATGGTCGTTGGGGTAGCTCTCGGACTTGAGCGAAGAGAGGGTGTTCTCAGGGCTTCTCGGACTTGAGAGAGGAGAGGGCGATCTCACAGCATTGGCGCAACTCTCGGACGCGCAGCACAACGCGAGAGAGAAAGAAATGAGAAGTCATTTGGCGGATTCACCAAAATAGGCTTTAACCGGTGCATTTTCTAGCGTATTATCTGCTGGTTATACAACCGGCGGATATTATGCCGGTGCTGATTCGTCGAGTTTAAGTAAAGCCAGCGTAATATTCCGGCGTATTATTCGCCGGTCATTATCGGCGGATAATACACCGGACACCTAAGAAATGTTGGGGGAAAGCCGGCGAAATTTGCGCTGGTATTTCTGCGGCGGACATTGCGCCAGATAATGCGCCGTTAAATTACCGACGCATATTCCGCCGATACGTGTGGCAGTGTTATAGGCGTAAAACATTCCGCCGGAAAGTCCGACGGTAATGATGCATTTTCGTGTAGTGCTACAGTCCCTCACTCTCCCTTAGCCAACTTAGAGGTGACACGTTTCTTGGGTAATACTTGTAGCATTATACTTTTTTACTTTTATTTGTTGTAATATTTCTTGCAACATTTAAAACCCTTTAAATAATTTTTGAAGATTGAGTATTTTAAATTCTTCCAAATCTTTTTTATTTTCGAATGACTAAGATTTTGAATATTTTCAGCATTTGTATTATAAATTTTCTCTAGTAAGCTATTCTCTCCATTCTCATAGATTCCGTAACACCCCCTTAGAATTTACCTGCTAGCAAGGTCAAATGTCATCCATGGAAAAAATTCCAACACTCCATTAATATCTCAGCAAGTTTGTCATATTTTTACTGTTACATGCTTAAATTTGTGCATTGGGTATACATCCCAATTTAATTAAAATTCAGATCATTCAACCTCAAAATCGAACAAACGTTTCGACCCAATTAGTTTTTTCTTACAGAGTATCTAACTTTTGAAGGAGAATCATACAAATTAAAAATTGAAAGTTAAGAACAGAAGTCATTACCAAATAATCTATGGTTCCATCCTGTAAATCGTAATAAAACAATATCAGAATTCGCCAAAATCAAAACATCTTAATTGATGAAAATATCACTATTTATTCACGACTCGCCTTAGGTTTCGTGAATCTGTCCAACAATCGCTGTACAATACAAAATACGAAATAATATTTTTTTCAAAATTTGAGTAGCAAATTAATTACTTTCCATTATTGAGGAGGATTGCTTTCTCCATGGCTTCAAGGGCGGTCTGCATGTACGATACCAAACCGTCCTTGGTCCATCCGTCGACCGGGTCCGCCTCGAACGCCCACTCAACCTGGCAGCCTTCCTCGCCCGCTGGAATCAACTTAACGAAGGAGAGGTAGTTACCAAATCCCATATTGCTTTCTGTAATCTCGTACGCGTAGGTATGACCGACCGGGTCAAAAGTAACGAGCCGCTCCTTCACCCAGTTGAGCCTGCTCCCACAGAGCCGGATGCAGCCCGGTTCGTTCTCCTCGCCCTCTATCTTGCAACACGTGTCCAACGGAAGCCACTTGTGCGCCGCGCAGAAGTTTCCGGCAATGGCCCATGCCTCAACTACGGTCGTCGCCGGGAAGCACGCGGTCGTTCTTCCAACCCATTTCTTCGACTTCGACTCTGACTCCATGGGCATAGAGAAACAGAGACAAGAGAGAGGGGGAATGTCTTTTTTCTGGATATTCCTTATCCGCCTCGTTGTCATTAAATTGCAGAGCGAAACACAGTACGGCTCGTTGATGCGACATAATTGAGTGGAACAAGGCGTAAATAAAGAATAAAGAATGTTAGCATTAATTCATGTGAACTATGCCTACTCCTAATCCCCATCTAATTAATTCAATTAAAAATTAAAATTTATATTACACCTAAAAAAGTCACGTTATTCGATATTAGAACCTTATAAATTTTAAAAATAGATATAGGAATAAAAATAAAATTATTTTAAAACACCACTATTTCAACGATTTGATGTTATATTTAAATTCAATGTAATTTTTTTTTTTCATATAAATGACTTTAATTTTTCTATATATATATAATTTAAAAATAAATAAATAAATAATCTAATAAATTATATAGAAGACTTTCATAAAATAAAATAATCTTATTATTTTAAAATATTTTAAGAATTTTATGTCATATTATTATTTATTTTGATGGTAGATAGCTATATCATATATGATTTCTATTAAATTTAAATTTGTCTGCAAATGACATCCGACTTTACTAACATGTCTTGTTGAAGACCCGATAAACATGTGAGTTAGAATATGGTGTATATAGAAAGGAAAAGTAAAGATCTCAAACAAGACAAAATTTTCCTACTAGTCAAATATATCTATTTAATATTTCTTGGAAGCGAGCTGTGAATTGGTGTTTTTTTAAAAAGTATAATAACAAATACCCTTATTTTTGTTTTATGCTGAATAACAAATTAAAAATTCTAGATGAGTAACTAACACAAGCGAATGAAATTTAAAACTTGATAATAATTTTATATTTTTTATTTGATTTTGAAGCACCAAAAAATCAAGTGGAGTATGAAGTTACTTGCTAACAAAAATTAAACTATCTACAGCATGCAATGAGAAATGATATTCATGCAAAAAATTAAAGTGTAGAAACTATTAATGAAGAAAAGAAAAATTAGAAAGAGCACACTAGAAATTTGATAGTAGTTTGGTCAACCTTGACTTAAGTCAACTCCCCAGAGTCCTCATATTCGGGTATTGTGCTAACACTATTAAGATTCTACTTTTACCCCCAACAACATGGCGATAAAGCCCATAGAAAAATCACTTCCACCAAAAATAGTGCGGAGGAGAACTGAATGTTATGCCACCCTTTTAGAGACGAAAACAAACCTTTGATCCTTCTTTACCCTTCTAGAGAAGGCAGAGTGCCCACAAAATCTTTATGAACCTTTTGGTGAGGGTAGAGAACTATCAATCATTTTTCACCCTCCTAGTGAAGGCAAAAAACCCTAGACCCTGACTTTGAACCTTCTCTCCAAAGAGCAACTCCAAGAACTCACTAGGGCCAATGGAGGAAGTAAGGTGCAAGCTTGACTCTGGCAACCGTGTGAACACCTCTAACACTCCTTCTTCCTCACGCACAACCTCACCTTCTCCCTTTCTAAACCCAAAACTATCTCTAGAATTCTCCCTTAGAGTTCCTTTAAAAGTTAAAAGTCCTTTTCAAGGACTTCTTTGAGTTGCTTAAGTACAAGGCTTCCAAAAAACTAAATTTTTAATTAGGTCGTCTCTATTTGTGTAGTACCATATTGGTTCATATAGTTTGATTAGTTCAAAAATAGGAGTTTGTCCAGTGCAATGGAATAGTCATTCAGATGAACCATTCAAATTCTGCATACTTATCGTACAGTATGATAGACATCGTCCAGTATAATGAGCATCTCACTACGGGAAAACACGCGAATACCGTCGGATTTTCCGGCGGAAAATTCTGGGCGGTAATAAATGGCGCAGTTACCGGCGGATTTGTTCGACGTAAAGTTTGCGTCAACCTTTCCGGCGCAAAATACGCCGTAAATTCACCGACGCATGTTCTGCCGGCAAATCCGACGGTATAAAGATGCCTGAACCATTTCCGTCGCATGTTACGGCGGATTTATTCCGGCGTATGTTACCGGCGGAAATTGCACCGGCGTATATAAACTCAACGAAATATATCCGACGGATTAGACGTCGGAAATGATACCGACGTCACTAGTGTCATTACCGACGGAACGTCCGCCGGTAAAAGTCCTATTTTGCGAACCCGAACCCCTCTAGACGTCATTCGTTTCCTTCCATTCTCTCACTTTGACTGCTTCGCCCGTCGCCCTCCGTCGTCGTTCGTCGCTCGCAGTGGTTAGACATCGCCGACGGTCACTGGACTTCACCTTCGACGGTCACCGGACTTCGCCGAGCCTCCTTCCTAGTTGCGCGCTGCCTCTCTCCTTCCTAGTCGCGTGCCGCCGAGGAGATAACCGAAGGTTTTTGTTTTCAATTTTTTTTGCTATTTCGGTTGGATTACATTTAGGATTAGCCTTAAGTCCATATCTTTTTGCTATAGTCATGGTTGTTATCACTAGACATTTGCTAGAGGATGTAGTTTGGTGCATGCTTTTTGTTGATGATATTGTTCTTGTTGATAAGACTAGAGAGGGATTTGAAGGTTTTTGTTTTCAATTTTTTTTTGCTATTTCAGTTGGATTACATATAGGATTAGCCTTAAGTTCGTATCTTTTTGGTATAGTCATGGTTGTTATCACTAGACATTTGCTAGAGGATGTAGTTTGGTGCATGCTTTTTGTTGATGATATTGTTCTTGTTGATAAGACTAGAGAGGGATTTGAAGGTAAACTTTGATTATGGAAATCAACATTAGTCCATATCTTTTTGCTTTAGTCATGGTTGTTAGCACTAGACATTTGCTAGAGGATGTACCTTGGTGCATGCTTTTTGTTGATGATATTGTTCTTGTTGATAAGACTAGAGAGGGAGTTGAAGGTAAACTTGGATTATGGAGATCAACATTACTCCATATCTTTTTGCTTTAGTGGTTAGTAGACCTAGTGAGGGGATTAATAAGTGTAACACGTTTTAAATATCTTGGATCTACTAATTAGATATATATATAAATCCATTACTTTTTTACTCTTATATATAGGTTATGGATATTAGAAATCAAAGAAGTTGGATGTATAACCGATTATCTCAAGGTCGGAAGACATTAACAGATGAATTCATCAATGGGGTGAACTTTTTCATTCAGCAAGCGAAACAGCTGCCCAGCTTTATATCAGAAGGAAAGTTTCGATGTCCATGTTCTAAACACAAAAATCTAGTGCACCTAGAACCAGATGATGTAACTGTTGAT